TGAAAAGCTTTCAAATGCATAAAAATCCTGCAGCAAAGAAAAGGAAGCAATCTGTTTTTCACAGTTACAATGGGCAGGACAAGACGACACGGGCTTAAATTGCCGTAAGAAAAACTTGTGTTAGACTCTGAGAGCTTTTCTAATGTCTAAGGATAATGTTATAAAATATACCTGCTATGGAGGTTATGGGCTTTTACCATAGGAGGTCTTTAAGAAGAGGTTAGAAAAACATCTTTCTTTGGTAGAAGAGTTTAGATATAGCTGATGCTGCCCAAGGGGGGGAGCCCATAATAAGGTTTTTTTAGACACCTCCCAGACCTATTTTTCTATGATTTTTCTGTGGATAAGTTATCCCTACACCTACCTGCTTAATTTTCCTTTTCTGTAGCTTAGCAGTTAATTTGAGGCTTGTGGGAAAGAGCACATAGCAGGCCTGAGGCGCAAGAGACTCCTTATAAAGTGAGAAGTATTTGGGGAGCTGGGGAGCAATTTCTTTATTATGAATGTGTACACATGCAAGTAAGCTCTCTTACCACCAAACCCAATGTAAATAGGTAGAACTGTATCAAAGGACTTGAAAATCATCATAATCTTAATTTTACAAATGGGGAATGCAGGGCACGGAGGTCTGAACCATCTGTAATGACACAGCAAGTTACAAAAATGAGCCTGAAAATTAGATTTCCTGGCTCCCCAAGTGACCTATCTGATGGAGTACATGCTCCTCCTGCGCTCCCTCCCCTGCCCTGCCTCCCTTCCCCCAGCAAGCCACGCAAGACTACAAGGATTGCAGTGTTTCCTCACAAAAGTCTTGTCTGCAGCTGGGGGAAGTCAGACTACAATAGCGTTGGTAACTTCTGCCGTAACAAGAACACACTTCACAAAGGTGTTCATTACCAAGGAAAGAAAAAAAACCCCACAAAACTAAAATCTAAAGCTGCCTCAGGACCTGCACCGTGAAGAGCTGATCTTCCCCATCTTCATTCTTTAACTTGCCTCTTTCTGTCTAACCTTTGATAGAAAGAATTTATTTTTCTAGAAAACAACTGTCTATAAATACAAAAAAAGAGAAGACAGAATAAAGGACACACTACTGATAAAGAACAGAATCGTTCTTTATACAAGCACAGAAGAGTTCACAAGCATTTGCAAGGGAAGCACTGCCCCAGCTCACTATGCAGAAGGAGCAGTCTAGCTCAGCATTTGCTGGCCACTTTTCTAAGCCTGCTGTAACTTAAGCCTGTAGGAAATCAGAGCCAAAGATTAGAACTGAAAATCTCTCATAACAAAGCATTATAAAGCCAGTGCCAGTCCTTCTGCACTATTCCTTACCAGACTGCCTAGGCTTGCTTCCATTTCCTACCTGCCAATGCTGGAACCCAAGGAGGACCCACACTTTAATCACCCACAGGAGGTCCTGCCTCTCACAACTGACTATGCCAAGACACACCGGGCTCCAAAGTAATTTTGAATTAATTTGCAAGAACTCTGGTAGGTTCTAAGCCCCATACATAGAACAAACAGAATTTGGATTCACCACTACAGGTAAGACAAAACAAGAATTGAAGAATAACAAATTAAAAATACATCAGGAATGCAAAAGTCAAAAACATCTTCCAAAAGAATCAATGGCAATGTTTTAATTGGTCATTTTCTCCAAAAAACGAAGAAAGGCTTCTGCGTCACTGGAATAAATATAATCAAATTCTTTGCATGCTTAGGTCTTTCCTAGCTTATTCGAATGGCATACTTAACTTTTGATTTATAAATCAAGGGATATTGCTCGCTCCCATAAGATGCATTCCACTGGGGCTCAAAGTCTTTAGCAGATCCACACTGTGCGTACTTTCTCCTGATGGTTTCACATTCATGTTCATCAACACTCAGCAAGAACCATAAACAAAGCCCTTCTCTCGGATGCACACATGCAGTTCCCATTGACTCCGCTGGATTTTCAGCTGACTTCAATAAGAACTCCATGTGCATGCAGAAGGGCAAAACTTGGCTCTGCACATTTAATAAAATTGTATCACTAGATACCTTGTAAATGAAGGGCAATGCAGGCCATACTGAAAAATAATATAAATTGAAAACCCAAAACTTCACATTTCAGCCAAGTCTTCCCAGAATAATAAAAAGGGCACACATTTTAGGCAACTTGAAATAAACCCCCCTGTAATATCTCATTTTGAAAGTGTGCTCTGGCTCCTTTAGCAGGACAAAGCGTGAAACCTAGCTACCTACATAAGGCAATGATCTTCTTGTCTCAGATATAGCAATGATACTGGCATATGAAATGATTAAGCAAAGGTGGTCAAGTTGCAATCTGTGATTTGCCAAGTCATTTTCTGCATCTATATCCCTGCTCTGTAAGTTATGAGGCTCATTGCAAATGAACTTAAAGCGTAGCAGAATACCACAGTAGAAAAAGTAATTATGTGATATTAATTACTAATTTTATATTATTTTGAATCTATTCTAATACTGGTATTTTAAAGATATCAAAGGCTTGAATCCAGGAGTATCTGTCTAAAACCCTTCAACCCTCTTTCCCACCTGGCCAAAAGAACAGCACAACAAAAATCCCACGTAACCTAGGAACAATCCCCTTCCAAATTTCAGATGATATCTAGCAACACAACTTCTGCCAGGTACATTAGCTAACGCACACTAAGCAAAGCAATGCCACATGTGTTTTCTCCAAATTTCTTCCCTTTATTTTACTTTTACTCATTCCATGATGTAATAACCTGTGCTTTTTTACTACCCCTTTAAAAATATCTACCTATTAGGATGAAGAATATTCTGACTTCTAAAAATCCAACTACTAATAGGCTTCCTTGAACTCTCTGTTTGGCTGACAAGCGCTCATTAGCCTGCAATTAAAAATGTATACACAGAAGTACTCGGAGATGGAAATCAAAGAGGGGGCTTGATGTTCATATGTTTGGTTTTTCCCCCTCTAAGTAGGAACATCTCTGATGATTTTCACACTTAAATAGCAGAACAGATTTTATGAATCATTTTTTCTTCCTGGTTGGAACAACCCCTATTCCCTGTTGCATTGTAATACTGAGTCACTTTACATAAAGTTGGTCATTACTGCCAAGTCAAGGGAGAGAGGAGAGAAGTGGACAAAATGCTCTGAACATACACGTGCGATAGGATATGTATCAGACTGCTTCTTGAAGCAAACTATTTTAAATGGGAAAGAAAAAAATCATTACAAGACAACACACGTAAGGGAAAACTATTTCACAGATATTGAAAAAGTCCAGTAAATATAATGTAATATTGACAATCAAAGGGATTATAAAGACTTTTTTTTTTTTTTTTTTTTTTTTTAAATGAAGCGAGGGTCTGGTCTGTTAGAAATGCCAAGTCGTACTGGTCATTCACACTAGATTACCCAGTAAGTTAAAAACCGGGGTGGAATCTGTTTCTCCCAAACAATGGCACTGTCAAACAAATACTTACAAGGTCTGGTGGAGCCCTGCTGCCTCAACATCACCTCCCCTCCCAGCATCATGCCCTGATGCTGGCAGCCCACGAAGACACTCATCTGTCTCGGAACTCCTTCATGTAACTCAGTGACTCCAGGTCTACTTTCTGTTGGCTCTGGCGAAACACGAGCTTAGCGAATTTGCAGCATGTTAGAACGAACATCTATTTCAGATTAGCCTTTGCAATTCTGGGTTTGCAGTGGGGAAAGGAAGGGTTTCCCCACTCTCCCCTTGGTCCTAAAGGGACAGGGCTGGTGCAAGGAGGGAGCTTTGACAACTTTCATTTGTTTTAAATGCATAGCATGGCTATTCGGTGATTGAAATAGAACTAGGTACCTTTAACAATCGTTTTTCAAGAAAGCTGATTTAAAGAGTTAAGAAAGAAAAAACCCACCAAAAAAACCACCGGCCAAAACCTCTGCCTTTCTGCATGTCCTGTTTAAGCAATGACACATGAAGAACTTTATGTTCGAACAATTACCTGGTACTTTAAATAGGACAGTGAGGGAATAACATATTAAAATGTATTCACACAGCATGAGACTAATCCTCCTCCTGGGAATACCGGTGCAAATCAGAGTAACTCCTCAGAGGTCAATTGAAGTACACCATCATAAAAGAAATGAGAGGCAGAGGGGAATCAGGCCCCATCTACCTCGAATTTAATGCAGAGGTTGCAGATCATCTGCAATGATAAAGTGAACAACATAAATATAACTGACATCTATTCAATTGATCTCACATCCTGCCAACTATTCACAGCTCCAAATATAGGGCTGAAGAACAATGGTTTGAGGAAGGGAGGCAGAAATCCTGCTTCTACCCCATTCATACATTCCTATCTGCTAATACCTCTGACTTGAACTGCCTTCATCTCCCCACGCTGCTAAATCATTGTAGGTTTAATTTGACATTGTCTTCCCGCTCCTGAAGAACAACTTCTCCTTACAACAAAATAAAAAAAAAAATAAAATACCAGGATGCATAAGATAAATGCAAAAATCTGTGCAAGCATGAGAACCTACAGACAAACAAGCAAGAAAATCCCTATCTAACATACCATATATATAAAAGGCACTAGCAAATTGATTAATTATTTGGAAATCTGGCACTGAGAAAGAACGGTATGTATGCAGGGGAGGAAGACTAAAATATGAGGCTATTGCAAAGTATGGTGCCATTTGTGCTAATTTAAGTGGATCTGTAATTATTTCCTACAACTTCATGATGTCCTGAACCAGCTTCCTCCTCCCCTGCCAGGCTGATAAAAGGATCCTTAGCAACACACTAAATATATTATGCAATGTATTGAATACTACCGAGAAAAAGCACTGAATTACACTGAAACAAAGAACATCAGGTGCAAACACCACCACCGCCAGGGAAAGATCACCTTTAACTATTTATCACATCAGTAAACGCAGGCATTCTCTTATGTCTCTGTTACCAGCACCTAACGGTATTTGCTACATTTAACAAAGTTAAGGTAAATTTTACCTCAAATCTACTTAGGCTCGAGCTCTTTGACCGGGATTTCTTGCGGAGGTAGACCGAGAAGAACCGCCGCACTGTGAACTTCTTCATGTTCATGTCCATTGCCCCGTCCCAGCTGCGGCGCGGAGCACGAAGGAGCTGCGGCGCCGGTGGAGAAAGCTAGCGCATCCCGATTGCTCCCTATTTATATCCACAGGCAGGAGATCCTCCGAAGCCTCTGTTTCTGTTCATCAAGCCGGGCAGCACAGCTAGACCTGCAAGAGGTGGGTCACGGGAGCCGCAGGAGCCTGCTGCTTGCAGTTCGGAGCATAAAGGCGTTATGCTCCCTCTCGCTTCCCAGTGTTTACATTTCGGTGCGGGGAGCCGAACTCTCTCTCCGCTCCCTCTCCCCCTCGCCTTAGGTCCTACTACGCCCAATCAGGCTCTGCTTTGGCTGCATGCATAATCAGCTCCGGCAGATGACAGCTCCTGCGTCCCAGGCGTAGCAGGTTTGAGATAAATACGAGATGTGCCTATTGCTTTGCACTCCCTTCTCCTCTCTCAGTCAGGCTCTTTCAATTTCCTGGTTGCCGAATCACATGGGGAATAGGCACATGCTGCACTTCTGTTTTTAGCTCGGAATTTCAACACTGCTATAATTACTGAGGGCTATAGTGGTCAGACCCGAGAAGAAATCGGCTCCCGCGTGAGAGTCTCTTGCGGGAGAAGGCTGAAAGACGCCATGACCCCACTGCCAGAGCAGAAGGGTCTGAACCTCCTTTTATTCTGGGGAGTATGCAAAA